TCACTTATCAATATACTTACCATATCTCATCTGAACCCATGAGATTCAAAAGTTCTCCAAATCTTTTAATTTCTTCCATTCTGGGTCTACAATTTTCTATCAACGCCTTCATTCATGTCCAATGTTCTTCTAAGTTAGAAATTTCATCAACCACTTGTGGTTAAACCGAAGCAGTGACACTTTCTGCTCAAGACGTTTCTTTTCTTGGTATGAAGTTCATCATAGATGCAGGTTTTGCTAGTCTGATTTGCCATACAAAAAAAGATTTAGTCTGGCAGTACATATTTCTAATTCTAAAAGCCATAGATGCTGGTGCTGGAGTACAAAGGCCCAGCTTCCTAATTGGTGAGACTTATTTAGAGTTTGATAATTCTGGTTTTAATTAGATGGAAGTTGGATCATGCATACAAAAATCATCATAGATGTGACCCAGAAGCCATAAACTTTGTGAAGGTTGGCAGATAAGCTTCTATGGATGGGAAGATCTTGTTTAAAACTTTAACAAACTGTTCATCATATCCAACAGTTCATAATTAATTGTACTTGTTTCCTATCATTTGCCTTCTATCTTTATTGTAATACACCCTCTTCTCTGATTTAATTATTACTAAGGTACTATGACATTTACTGCAATACTAGTAAGGTTTTATAATTTATAAATGGCTCTCCTCCTATACGCATTCATGAGATTATTCTAAACAAGAGAAAAGCTTCTTATCTTTTTTTGAATTTACCACAGTGATGTTAGTTTCAACAAGCTGGTCGGAATGATTCCAGATGACATAAGTGCAAGAACAACGCTTAAATTTGTGTGAGTATAATTCAATTTGGCTTTTGTTTTCGAAGTACTAGTACGATGACATCATTATTATTTTTATAACACGTATGAAAAGATTTATTCACCGTTTCCCACATTAATGGTTACTTACTAAGTGACACTTTTGTAATAGGTTTTTATCTGGTAACATGTTCAGTGGAAATGTACCTGACTCAATTTTGAAGAATGGAATAAATGTGTACGTGTAATATCTTTCTTGATTCTCTTTTGTCAAATATTTGGCTCTCATATGGGCTTGAGTATGAGGTGTGTTAATATTTCAATTAAATCATTGATTTTAATTTGGTATTTTTCTTAGTTCCACATTTTCTTTGTCATTTGCACCTTTTAAATGCTTGTTCATCGCATTCTGTCATTATAGTGCTTTTGGATTATGATCAACCTAAGAAATTAATTGCATGTACAGTGATCTTTCCTACAATAACTTTACTTGGCAAGGCCCTGA